GTCCCTGGCAAGGCTTGTCAACAAATCTCCAAGGCTCCAATTGACAACCTGCTTTGGTCGTTAGTTTGAGGGTGGCAGACATTGCTACACTGCAATTTAGTGCCAAACGTTTTCCACAAGGGCTTCCAAAAATGGCTCACAAATCTTATATCTCGATCGAAATTGATGGTCTTTGGCACACCATGAAGGCGGACCACCTCCTTAAAGAAGAGATCTGGCGCTTGAGTCCCATCTAAAGTATTTAGGCAAGGAATGAAGTGGGCCACTTTAGAGAACCTATCGGCCACCACAAAGATAGAGTCACACCCTCTCAAGGTGCAGCGAAATCCTACCACAAAGTCCTCACTCACATCTAACCATAGTCGGTCAGGGATAAGGGAGTATAAAGATAGGTGTTTGGAGACTGCCCTTTCCGCAAGGGTTGTGCTCTTATCCAGCCCACAGTGACCACAAAGATTGTCACCATGCATCTCACCCATGATTTTGATGTGAAGTAACCCCTCGGGAATGCCAAACCGACTCCCTTTGAAGAGAAAGCCATCCTGCATAACAAAATAGCACATGTTTCCATTTCTCGTTGCGCAAGTTCATTGTTTAAAAAAGCGGACCACTCAACGCCTAGGTGGTCTAGATAGGTGGCCAAATTAAGCGGGCCGTCCCTAGGCGCCAGCCTAGGCACCGGGGAACCCACCTAGGCAGGTGCCTAGCATCCAGCCTTGGGCGGCCACCCAGGGCCTGCGTCCCACCTAAGGGCGGAAATGCCCCTCATTGAACGCATTTTTTGGTCTTCCTTTTAATATAATAAGGGCAAAATAGTGGGTTTTAGGTTCATTTGAAACCTAAACCCCATTGAAGCCTAATTTTTAGAGAGAAAAACCCCAAAAAAACTAGGTTTTGATGATTTCCATAGGATGGAAGGGTTTCTCAAAGTTACGAGAAATCACCCATTGATATTAGATTTAGTTTTGGATATTTTATAAATCTATTAGATGGTTTTTTAGCAGATTTTGAGTCCTTAGAAGTATCTTAGAGGTGGAAGTTTGGAGATCAAGCAATCAAAGTTAGTGAAATTTTGATGTGGACTTGTGTCCTACACATTTGATGTGCCCTAATCCCTACTCTTATGTGTTATACAGTTATACCTATATTGTTAGACTATAGCAACATTTTTCTTTCTACTAGGCCGCCCAGGTTCTGGATGCCCGCCTAGGCGTTGGGCAGCCTGGACCCCCACGGCCGCTTCGGCACCTAACATTTTTTGAAACACTACTCAAGTTGCTAAAGGATCTTAGAGAAGTAAGGGTCAGTAGTATAAGCTTGAAATAGGGACTCAAACCCCACAACTGAGGTGGCAAAAGTACTAAGGAGGTGACACCTCCGACTGGGGGCATCAACCACTTTGTTTTGGCTGCATGATTTGTGGCGGACTAAGAAAGTAAACTCTTGTAAGTACGAAACCCACACAGCACGCCTATGATTTAGGTTCTTTTGAGCACTCTGATACTTCAAAGCTTCATGGTCTAAAAATAAGATATATTCTCTTTGGATGAGGTAGTGCCTCCAATGTCTCAAGGCTTGAACCATAGCATAGAACTCCACATTGTAAGTAGCATAATTAATCTTTGCCACACTCAGTTTCTCGTTAAAGAAGGCCAGAGGTCTGCTCCCTTGACTTAGGGGAGCTCCAATTCCCTCCTTCGAGGCATCACAATCTACTTGGAAGACCTATTCAATGTCTGGAAGTGAAAGGAGAGCCCATGTCATCCTTTCTTTCACCAATTTGAAGTTTTCAGCAACTAAAGTCCACTCAAACACCCCTTTCTTCATGCAATCAGTTATGGGTGCTATTATGCTGCTGAAGTTTCTGATAAATCTCCTATAAAATTTGCTAGACATGAAAACTTCTCACCTCAGTTACTGTTTTGGGTGTCGGCCAGTCCATAACAAAACCCAAAAATACTAAGTTATTAGTAAAAAAATGAACAGTTCTTTAGGTTTACAAACAACTTTTCTTTTCAAATGTCCTCCAACACCTCCTGTAAATGCAACAAATGTTCATCAATGCTTTTAATACAAATGAAGATATCATCAATATACACCACTACAAACTTGCCAATAAATGGGCGAAGTTGCCACTCATCCATCTCAACATCCTCATCTCAGTTACACTCATCCTATGCATATGTTGTTTCTTGACCGCCCAACAGTGTGCCCCATAGCAAAGTTGGTCTCACAACTATCTTACAGAACATCCTCTTCAGCTTCATTGGTACTCGGCAATCACATAAAACTCTGGTTGAACATCTCCACTTCGCCCACCCAACTCAAATTCTATATGTGACATCTTCCTCAGTATCTTCATTTTCCGAGATTATCGACCTAAGATATTGATAGTGGGCTCGTATTGGTATTTCGTGGTCTTTCGTAACTACTTCCTTGTATCTACTCCTATTATTAACTAAACTTGCATCCCATATACTATGTCTTAGTCCGACTAATTTACCTTTAGATTCTAGAGCATCCCTTCAAAGTGCTATCTTTGTGTTGACACCATTTCGGGTCTCATCGATCAAAACCATGTCATCCGCGAATAACATAGACCAAAATACCTCATCTTGCAGGTTCCTAGTTAAGTCGTCCATAAAGAGGTATGGGCTCAACATTGACCCTAGATGTAATTGTCACTGAAAACTCACTCGTCTCTTTACTAGTTGTTCACACACTAATTAGTGCTCCCTCGTAAATATCTCTCACCAAGTCGATATAGTATCTGGAGACTCATTTCTTTTCTAATATCCACCAAATTAACTCTCCAAGTACCATATCATAAGCTTTCTCTAGATCAATAAAGGTCATGTCGAGGTCTTTTCTCTTATTCTTAAACTTCTCAATCAATTGTCTAAGTAGGAAAATAGCCTCAATTGTTGACCTCACTAACATAAAACCTAATTGATTTCTGATACATCCGCTTCATGTACTGTCATTGCTTAATCACTCCCTCCCACAACTTCATAGTGTGGCTCATATATTTGATCCCTCGATAAGATTAAAAAATCTTAGATATGATATGTTCAAAATCGTTGGTGGACTAAAGTAATGAGCCTAGTTAAAAAAGGTATTGTGTAATGGTTTGCCACACCATTGGTAGGTCTTCATGTCTTAGACAGACTCACGAATCAAGTCGAAAGCCAAACAACAACAGGTTTAAAACCCATATGACTCATCCTACTAAAAGTCCAATGTTCATCCAAGTAGACTTGGCCGAGTAGTGTACACATTGAAAAAATTAAGAAATAGAAAGGGTATATAGAACTTTGAGGAGAGCAAGAGCCCCATAAATCAAGTAACATCAACGGCAATGCTGATGCAAATGACTAGAATCTTTTTTTGAAGAATAGAACCAATCTAGAGCATTGTTTATCTTAGTACAAAGAAGAAAGTCCCAACTGCTCTTTTAGCGTCTAATGCTGCTAAGCATTCGAGTGAAAACTTAGATGTTTGCCTGAACACGAGAAGAAACGAAATTTGCATGGAAGAACAACATGCAAACAAAATTACTTTGAATGATGCTCTGCCTATGAGTCAATCAAAAGATACTTCCCCTCTTTCCGTTGATAAACCATAATTGTTTGAGATTGTGAATCATTTAAAGAATCAGAATTGCGAAAGAAGATTTTCACTTTCGGAATCGACATTAGGAAACAAGATTCCTTATTTATAAGAATCAAGATTCGACCTAAATGGAATCAAGATCCCTACATATATAGAATGGAGATTTTGTCCTCTTTAGAACCAAATTTTGACGACCTATATGGCATCAGGATTCCGATATCTTTGAAATCGTGTCTCTAACATGTCGAGTATTAATACATGTGGAATCCAAATTCAATAAATGTAGAACCGAGATTCGAAATTTGCGGAATCGAGAATTAATAAATATCAAAAACAGTATTCTATGAGTGTCGGAACATAGATTTCTAAAATAAGGAATTATATTCCTAACTTTACCAAAATAGTTTCCGTAAAGATTCCTTGTCGAAATTGCAAAATCGGGATTCCAAATCGGAATTGCGACCTTCGTTGAAAGGTTCCGAACTATGTGAGGAACCCCAGCAGATTGTTGTTGGTAATGAAATCAGGGGCCTAGAGGTTGTTCTTGACAAAGCAATTCATCTTAACGAAGGGGAAAGATATCGAGATAGAGGAAAAGGGAGAGGATTTCTAACCCCGTTTGAGATAGAAATTGATGAATCGGGGGGTTGGATCTGCCTCCTTTCAGATAGAGAGAGAGGGAGATGGAAAAAGGCAGGGGGTGGGGCGAATCTGCCCCCTTTTTGAGAGAGAGAAATTGTGTTTTCCTGTGTACCCGAATGGGTATAGGGGTATTCTCCTCGGCCACTGGCCCAGGCCAAGTAACTTGGTTGAGTCCGAGTGGACTCGGCTGGGTTGTTCAACACTGGCAAAAACCAAAATGTGAAGACCCCCACCAAAATATATCAGGATTAACTACAAAGGAAGAAGCTAGTAGTAATGTGGGGCTCGATGGGACAAGGAGTATCCTAAATGTTGATCAACAAGTCTCTATGATGGCTGCTTCCATCCCTGTTAGGAGTGTTAACAACAATGCCACAGAAGTGGTTGAGCTTCTTTTAGGCGAGGGAATTAACTAGAGTTGTACATATTCAAGTTTGGGTGATGGAGGTGAAAGGTTCAAAGTTCAAACAAGCCAAACAAGCTGACCTACCCTTTTTTTTTTTTCTTTTTTTCTCTTTTTGGCTATCACATCCCTAGCCACATGCATAAAATCATAGAGTCGCATCAAGTTTTTGAGGAAGATTTTTTGCAAAGGACTCTGGTGGTTTAGATAAATATGTTTTAGAAGAACATCAATATAACAAGTTATCAGTTGTTGTCTTACTTTTTTTTTATGGTATTAAAAATATATATATATAGTTTGGTAAGTTCAGACACATGCAAGGAAATGGTTATATCAGTCTCACCTTCTTCACATGGAGCACCTCTTGAACCCTCTCATTGTTTGCCCAATAATGGGAAAGCATATATCCATATGTCTGCATACCATTTTGAGAATGTGAAATATTAACAGAAAAACAAAAGAATCTGAAAGAAAATCAGTGGTTATGTTGTGTACATGAGATAAAGAGACAAACCAATTTGTAGGAAGTGTACCCTGTAAAATATAAAAGAGAGAGCGGGGTACCCTGTAACTTATGAGAGAGAGAGAGAGAGATAGAGAGAGAGAAGGGTACCCTGCAAAATATAGGAGTTGACTGGAGATGTATACCAGAGGAATTCTCATGGAGCCATCTCCTAAGTCCTGTTCCTATTTCTACTCTTGGCCTTGGAGAAGCAAAAGGGCATAATGGCTCCAAAATGTGGGGGGTATTAATTCTTGAAAGGCACTACAAATACACAATCAATGCCCTCAGTGACCGCTATTACTTTCCCGAGAAACACATAGCAAATATAATACAAGAACAAAGAGATGCAATGCAAATAACTAAACTTACCTCATGTACAGCTTGCATATTTAAATTACACTGTGAACCTTTTGGGAAAGCATACTTGCCATTGCAACTTATCTTGGTAGCCTGCAAATAGATTGACAAGCATTTAAATTTTACTCCATGCAAGCATATATTCCCAAAATCATTGTGAACAGTACTTAAATGAACACTGCATCTTTTCAAATCCCAGAATACACTTTTTGAGCTAGAAGTAGTTTTGGTCATAAATAAAATGCATTTTCAAGTGCAATAATGAAAAACTACCCTAAAAAACATGTCATCATCATCGTCATCATTGTCAAAGCCTTATCCCAAAAAATAGGCGGCTATATAAAAAAAATGTATAAGACAAAAATACATTGATTTTTGTGCGCGAACTTATAAGCACATATAGATGATCAATATATCCAGTCGGCACACACTTATAAAGTGAAAAAATAATGGATATGACATTTGAGTTCACCATGAATCAAGTGCCAATCGTGGATAATGAATAGCTGTCTAGCGTACATCAGACCAGTAACTAGTATTCTTCTGCCTCATTTTTCCTAGACAAGCTGTAAAGATTACTTACTTTACTCTACTTCATAAATCAATGAGCAGCAATTTCTTATCTCTATGATAACCATGAGATAACTTATATATAAAATTTGTGTAGCAACCTATAGGGACTGTTCATTGAGTAGGACAAAGTTCCCAAAGTATAATTAATCTTCTTTTCCTTTGACTGGGGAACCAAAACTAAGTCCAACCTATTGTTTTGATAATTAAGATCAAGGTTTAGGTAATGAAAAAACCAAGGAGGAAAGAAAAATTGTACAGAAATTAAAAAGAGCAATACATAAAGATTTTGGTGATTTGGCAATAGCCTACATCCACATGGCTGTAAACTTTCTCTTCCAATAATCAAAAAAATATCATGCAAGTGCGGAGGATACAAGAGTTTAGAAAGTCTCTCAAAAGCCCTAAATAAAGTTTTCACTATCTAGAATACCTATCTAAAGGCTCAAGAAAGCTCACCCTTTTATTAGTCTCTCTCTTTACACTACCTATCTCTCTAAAAAATTACCTTTATATAGAGAAAACCAAAGAATCCAATATGTGTTGTCTTTCTCTATCCCAACCCTTTTATATTTAGGACTTACTGAGTAGTAGCCCACTCAATTGGGATCCCACGAATTTCCTAAATCGAAAAGGAATCACCTTCCCATATAGGAGTTGAAGTAATCACATGTGGGTTATGTTAGGGTGCTCACACTATGGAGTAATTTATCATTGTACTTAACAATTTTGGACACTTCTATACCTTTGTTTTGTACATGGAGCATTTTTTAATAAGGGTCATTATAAAGACTGTGACGTCATCCACATGGAGTGTGACATCACCCACATGGAGCATTAAATGCCACTAATGTAGTCCACGTGGATGATGTCGCACCCCATATGAATGATATCACACCCTCATAATTATCAAAAATACCCTTATTAAAATAAAGCTCTATGTACAAAACAAAGGTATAGAAGTGTCCAAAATTTGTTGAGTACAATGTTAAATTACTTCATAGTGTGAGCATCCTAACATAACCCATATATATATATATATATAAACATGGCTTCACTGCCAACATTACCTCCCACGTTAGACAAGAAAATCATTAGAGGTACCGGAAAGAAATAATTTTCACCTCATGTAAGAGATGGGCTGCTTTGTGGCCCTCTCGGAACAATTAAGAGTCACGATACAAGAAATTCACCAAAATGTGTGTGTGTGTGGGTAAAGAAGTGGGAAACAAGAAATAACTAAATAAGCAAGCAACCTACACAAAGATTCACATGGTTTTCCCTTATAAGCTACGTCCAAAGGCGAGAGGCAAAAATCCATCAAAAATAAAATGATTTGATAGAGTAGTTCACCTTCTTCCAAGAGGATATTGATCTCTCTTGAGTGTCTTCTTCAAGAGGCTTTCCTTCTCACTTGGATCACAAGTCTCTCTCTCTCT